AGTTGACACCTAGTTTAAAACTCAAGGACCAAACATGTGCATTTTGAAAATTTAGGAACCAAGTTGACACCTACCTCAAATATCAGGGACAAAAAATATATTTTGCCCTAAAATAAATTCTAAGGCAAATAAGAGAAATTTAAAGCAAACAATGGAATTCTAAAATTAATTACAAAAATAAATAAGAGAGAGGATTAGAGAAATTTGACACCGAGAATTTTTATAGTGGTTTGGCACAATCGTCTTACTCTACTTCCCAAGCACCTCTTGGGTTGTAAATTGAAATTCTGACTCTTTCTACGGTAGGAATCAAATCAGTACACTATGCTTCTCAAGAGCAAAGACGATCCTTCGATGAGGATTACACCGTTACAATGAATAGGAAATTTTGAAACACACACTTACAAATTCTCAAATAAAGTGAATAATTTGAGCTCACAAACAATTCAATCCTCGCAACGATGAATTTCTGTCACAAATAAGATAAAAAGAAAAATTGAGAACTTGAGATAATACAATTATAAATTTTGAGGTTATGAAGGATTGAAAATAAGAGAATTGTATAATTTTGGAGAAGAAGATTGAGTTTAAATAGATGAGAGAAAATGATAAAAAAAATCAAGTTTAATTTTGAACCATTAAATCTTAATTATTGAAAATGAAGGGTTGATATAATTTTGAAAAAATAAATTAAGAATTATATATATATAATAATAATAATAAAAATATATATATACGATTACATTGAATTTTTTTTTAATTTTCATTTTTTTTACCAGTCATGTCGATGCGACATGGTGTAATAATTTTTTTTTACTTTTAAAAAATTAACTTGATTTATTTTTAATTCGTTTTGTTTATGTTTTTGTTTTTGTTTTTTTAATAAACAATAAGCTTGCCGAAGCCCTCCTGTCAGAAAAAAAGCCCAAGGCCCGCGACCCGTCAACAAAGAGTCAACCACCGGCGCCCGACTGCGTCTGGACCCCTCAGTTGACATGACTCCGTATCGACGCCTTTCCCTCTACTGAAAAGGGGGTCGGGCGTAGCAAGTTCTTTTTTCGGCACTTATTAGCTTACGAATCGTCCACGTCATCTTTTCAAGTATGTTTCCTTCCGATTTGTTCCGATCGGAACTCCTCCGCTTGAGCTCCGATTTGGATGATCCAATAGTCATTGGAATTATTGTAACTAGCTCTATGCTGTGGACACTTTAGTACTAAAAATATCAATAAATAAAATTAGGTTTCTTATCATCAAAACATTAATTAATTAATTTGAGATTAAGGGCAAAAAAGCTAACATTACAAACCTAAAAAATCTAACTTTAAAACATGAAAAATCAATTATAAATCTAATATGGAAGAAGCCTATTAAAAAAAAAAGTTAAAATCACACGATGGAATATTAAATAGTTAATAGTTTAACATGGAAAATCTAAATATTTCATAAATCTGGGGTCAATATTGCATTAAATGCCTAAGATCTAATTGATAAGAATGACCAACAATAAATACAAAAAAAAAAAAAAACTGAAATGGGGTGGATCCCGGCCCGGGATAGAACAGTCACAGATTGAGATTGCATAATCCCGAATTAAAACACTATCCCGATCTGGATTATGCAATCCCGATCTGGGATTGTTCTATCCCAGTCCAGGATACTGTTATCCCGGGTCGAGATACTGTAGTTCCAAAGCATTTACTCTTGGATCATTTTGTAGATTTTGTTTCCACCAGAATTACTATATTAAAAAGGTAGGATGTAGAAAAAAACATTTTTAGACACTTTTGCCCTTTACTAAATTTACAAATTTACAAATTATGCCATTAATATATTATTACAAATATTAAATTAATTATTAATTATTAATTACCAATACTATAAATGCATGGAATATAAAAGGTTAGAATGCAAAAAGTTTTCCAACAACATAAAATTAATTTTTTCTTTAATTAAAATYCATACTAGAATTTCAAGAGKTTTAGAATTTGAAAAGCTTTTGTAACGTTTTATCCTCTACTACTATAAAAATAGGTTTTCTTCTACATGTTTTTCACAAGTTTCAATACTTTTTTATTCTTAGTTCTTTGAAACATCTCTCAAAGATGATTCAATCTTGAAAACATCTTGAGATATTTGTGACATATTCATCAAGTTGCAAGAGAGGCATATGTTGAATCTACATATCTCGAATACTAAGTTTGTAACATTACCATTCCACAATTTTACAAAGTTGAATAATAGTATCTGTCAAGCAATCTTCAAGAATGAGCATATTTACTCTAAAAGATGAGTGTATAGTAAGTACTTGGATTTTTTTTGTTACTATTGTTATTTTTCTAATTAGTGTGTTTTTTATTTGGAATGTTTCTTTTTTTAGCAATTTTATTTAGTTTAGGATTTGGACTTTTTTTTTGTTACTAATGTTTTTTATTGTTTAGTGTATTTTTTTTATTTGGAATGTTTTTTTTGCAATTTTATTTAGAATATTTGTTTAAAATATAGATAATTACAAGCTCATGTTCTTATTGTTGAAAAAAAAAACAATCATAGAAGCCAGTATATAAAAAAATGTTTAATTAATAAATTAATTATAAACAATAATTTGTATAGAATCGTAAAAGGTGGAATATAAAACTTTTTGTCATTTTATTTTCTAATATTATAATTTGAAGAATTTTTCTTTAATAATTTTAATTATAATATAAAATTAAATCAATAAAATAATTTAGTTTTAGTTACAAAATTCAACATATACAACAAAATGTCAGCCCTAAACAAATATTTAATAAACAAACAAAATATTAAAAAAATAAAATAAAGGACCCATATTAGGTTGAAATAATTTAAAAATAAAAATATTAAAATACCTATTTACTTTTTTATTAATATATAATTTTTTCCTTTACTTTTAATTTATTTATTTACAAAATATATCATTAACAATTAACTATAAATAATATATTTTAAAAATAATTATAAATAGTATATTTTATTATTAGTAATTAGCTGTCAATAATAATAAATATATATAAAAATTAATCTTAATTATTTTTTAAAATAATTATACTTAAAATATTTTACGTAAAATTATATAAAATTTAAGTTACCTTATAATTAAAAAAAATTTATACGTGCATTGCACGTGGTAATACACTAGTTAAATTAAAATTAAAACAAATTTGTGAGGTTTAACGTCGGAGATTGTGGAGGGAATAAAAATGTTGGATAATTTTTCTTAAAGAAAAAAAGGATATTTTGGTAATTTAATAAAGAAAAAAAAGTGGAAAATGGTCCCAAATTATAATGGAAGAAGTCATGAATTAGTTTTTTTAGAAAATGGGTCAAAAATCAAAATAGATTATAAAATGAGGTTAGAAATCCCAATTTCCCTCCGTGAATACAACTGGTTTTTAATGAAGGATCAAGAATCCAAATTGAACTCTTTTTGCGTCACAATACCACAAATCCAAATTGAACCTTTCTTTTCTTTTCTTTTTTTTTTTCTTCCTTGGAAAATTAGGATTCTTGACCCTTCTTTAATATAATTTGTGATCCCTCCCCTTGAAAATTTGACCATTCTCAATTTTTTTTTTGAAAAATGTGTGATTACAGAAAAACACTTAGAAGTTTAAATTGATGTTACTCGCGGCCGTGATTGAATTAAAGAATGGGTAAAAAAAAATCAATATTTTTAAATCTGAAAAATTTAAATTAATTGAATGAGGAAAAAAAATCTAATTTGGAAAATCATAAGAAAAATCGAATTTTTTAACTTTAAAAAATTTACGTGGAACGAAATTAGCTAATTGAATGGGTCAAAATATCTTTCAATATTTGAAAATCGAATTCACATAATCTTGGTCCAATATTTCATAAATACCCAAATTTAATTTGAAAGGAAAGTCAAAATTTCATGAATATCGGATCAAGATTTCATAGATTTAATTTAAAAAGATGATCAAAATTACGTAAATGCCGAGATAATTAAGAAAAAAAATCCAAAATTACATGAAGCCCGACCCAAGATAGCAAAATGTCGGACTGGGAAAGCACAATCTCGGACCGGTATAGCACAATCTCGAACCGAGATTGTATTTTTTTGCTATCTCGGTCGGGGAAAATTGGACTGAATAGCCTTTTTCAAAGCCAACTATGAAATCTGTATCACAACCTCCAAATTTTATGTTTTTTTAACAATTTGCTTACATCACTTTTGCGTGAAATTACAAGTTATCCCTTGTCTCATTTTCTCTACTTTTCCTCTTCCTCTCAACTCTCTCTTTCTCTCTGTTATTCATTCTTCCATACATCTCTTTCTTCCATTTTTTTCTACACCACATCCCATTCGATTTTTTGTTTTCCTTTGATTTTGGATTTTTTTGTTTTGATTTTGAAGGCATGCACTTTTCTCTCTCCTCTCTCTTCCTTATTTTTCATTCATCTCCTCTCAATCTTGCTTGACTCCATGATTGGAGCTTAAAATTCAAAAAACAAAATAACAAATACACAGCACACAAAAGAACGAGTCACACCTAAAAGAGAGGTAAAAACTCAACAAAACACAAAGAGTTCACACAAACCCCCACATAAAAAAAAACAGAACACACAAAAAAAGGCTATCGCTCCTCTCACTTCTAAATCGTAAATGGAGCTTGTTGCTTGTTTTTTTAGAGAAGGTAAAGAAAAGAGTGGGAATGGGAAGAAGCGGCCCAGAGTGATAAAGGAGGAAGATAACAATAAATATTTAGGGTTTTTTTGATGGTGGGTAAATAAGAAAGAGAAAATTGGCTGAATTTTTTAAGAAAGAGAATTTGCAACGACACGAGAGAGGAAAGAGGAGAGAGAAAGAGAGGAGAAAGTAGTAAGTCGGAGAAAAAAGGAAGAGAGTAAATAAAAATTAATGCCGACAAAGGTTTACAAAAACATAAAATGAGTAGATGGACACATTTTATAATGGACGTCTGAAAAAGGCTATTTAAGCCGATTGTCCAAGATTGTGCTATCTCGGTTTGAGATTGCCCCGTTTAGAAATTGAGATTGTTTCTTCTTCTCCTTCCTTTGGTCATCCCAAAATTACGCAATTGGTGACGGAAGGTTATATAACCCGCCGAATGCAGCTGGCGGCATGCTGTCAGAGGGTGACATCAGCGACGGCGCCTCTACCACTAAGGATAGAGACTCTGCGGCGAGAGTGGTGGGCGAAGGTGGAGATGGAGTGGCGATGTTCCTCCTCTTGCTGTTGCGTAATTTTAGGCTCTCTCGATTGATTTTGTGTATTTTGGAAGTTGCGATTTTTCCCAGACTTTTATCGATAAAACGAAGACCCGTTTCTCCAATCTTTTATGACAACCTTTCACCCATTCTTTCTCAGATGGCTTAAGACCCACCTTGAAATTGAAAATGAATACCCATTTCTCTCTATTTCTCTAATTGCTTAATACCCACCTTGAGAAAATGAAACCAATTTATTCCTTTACCAGATCTATAATTTCCACACCCGTTCCTCAGATTTTGATCTTCTGCCTTACGACAAGACTCTGACAAGATCAAAATGCACCAGCGAAAACCATTGATCTCATCGTTCCCAAAATCCCAATTCGATAGCCACCAAAAATTTGGGTATCCTCAATTGCAGTCACTACGCAGAGCTTAATGATGAAGATGAAATTCCATTAAAAAAAAAAGATTGCAACAAATTGCAATACTTGCAAAGAAATAATAAAACAAAATCTTGTGTTTGAATACTGAAATCATGAATTTTTGGGTGACAGGAAAAGGTAGAGAAATAAATAAACTGTGAAATTAAAAAAAAAATCAGAAAAAAAAACCAGGTTTTTAGAGAGAGAGGAAAGAGACGGTGACCTGGGTGTTTGTTTTTAGAGAGAGAGGGTGGTGGATGTCTCTGTTACTATTTATGATTTTTTTTTCTCTTTCTTTCGCCTGTACTGATTTCGATTAGTAGAAAATAATTTTTTTTCTTGGAGTAAATTTATGAGAAATTTTTTATATGTTTCTTTGTAAATGAATCATTCCTGCTATGTGTACAAAGAAAATGGTTAGTTTTCAAATGAATGATTCGGGGATCCCCAATTTTCTCCTACAGAAGAAAAAGTCGTAATTTTCTCCCACAATCGAGTCTCTCTTAAAAAAAATGAAAAACAAAGTTCATTGTATGAAGAACCTTCCCTTAAGATGAGAAGAGAGATAAAGAATGATATCAGAGAGCGTAAATGTCTTTTTTAAGTGAAAGGGAAGGGAGATAAAGAAGAAATAGAAACTAATGAAAAAGGCAGGGACAAATATATAATTTCATACAAAAGCGAGACAGCACAAGATTAAAAAACATGGATTTTAAAAACGTTCATTAAAAAATAATTCAACTCAAAAACTTAACTTAAATTTTTGCAGACAGATATCACATGTTAGAGTTTTTTTTAGATGAGATTAAAAATTCAAATTGAATTAAAGCATTTCGGAGGAGGGAGTACGGCAGAGGAAAGTACTCGGGCGAGTGGCGCGACCAGGAATCGGTTGGGGCGATGGAATCGTACATTGTTAGATGCTCCCATGGCAGGAGTCTCCTTAGGGCCTTCAAACCCGTCCCCGTTTCTCTCAAAACGCGCCTCTGTTCTAACACGCCCATCCGAAACGGTTAGATTCCTTGAAGAAGCTTGGGGCGCCGTGAATTTGTGGGTACTCCTACTCTGTATCTGTATTCCCACTCAATTTTCATCTTCTTGTGTTTATCTGGAAAGTAGTCGGTGGAGGGTCACTTAATA